AACTATGTTAAAAAAAATTGCGATTTTTTTCCATGAATTGCTTGGTTTGGAAAATGCACGCATTATTTATACAATTATAGTCAATAAAATTCATGTATTATAATGAGATTCTGAAAGTTGTGTACATAGAGAAAATCCATGTTTGTGCAAAGAAACCAAAACATGTCATATTAACTGTGAGTACTCACTATAAGAGTTCGACTCATGAATCTAAAAGGATAAGCCTTCTAACCCTACGATTTGAAGCGTTTATTCATATTAGGATTATTACCACTTATAATCCCTCGTGGTTTTCAAATTCATTCATAATTGAGGAAAATTTTGAAATTCGTTAAATTTAAGAACATGTGTGAAAAAAAACAAATGCATGCAAGCCAAGTCATATCAGATTAAGATTATTACCACTTTTAATCCCCCATGGGTTTTCAAATTCATTCATCATTGTGGAAAAATGGGAATTCGTTAAATTTAAGAAAATGCGAACCAAACGTACACATGCAAGTCAAGTCATATGATTCATCCCAAGTGATGTTGCATCCCACCATTTGATGGACGACACGTCTCAAATCATGAAGATGCTGTAGAATTATAGTTCGATGGAATTGACATGGGGTCACAAGATGTTGGGACAAATGGGTTAATTTGTGTACGTTAGCTAGCAGGATTCTTTGGGGATGCTCTTAGGCAGCATCTCAATAGCTAGCTAGGTCTTTTTCTGGCTTTTCCTCTTCGAATAATATCTTACATCAAATTGATACACATGTGCTGAATAAGATTCAATCTAAACAACATTTAAAATGACTAATGGTACTCATACTAATTCATTAATACCGAAGAATATACAAGAACAGCTAGCGTTGTTGTAGCATCCAAAATATAGAAGATTTATAGATAAATTAAACTTAATAAAAATTAGGGAGTTTAAGGACTTCCTAATCCCAAAGAGAATCACACATGCATGCATACGTGGGATACGTACGTACGTACGTATACGTACATACAGAGATTTAAATAACTATTGTATAGCATCATGAGCAATCAGCCTTTTGATTTTAGCAGAGTGACTGCTCATGATGTTATATCATTAATTTCCATGAAGCTCGATTTCGATTGATAGAGATATAGCTAGAGTGTGCTACCTAGCTAGCTACGGCGTTCATTAATTTACTGGAAACCTCCGCCAAGAGCTGGAGCCCAATAGTCTGCTCCGTTGTCGCTCCCAACTTGGAGGGTACATGAAACTGGAACTAAACACAACCCCCTACTCCTCAGGTCCTTCTTTGCCTCTTCATCAGCATCCTAACAAGTTTTTAACCAGCAAAACAGATTACTTAATCAACTTAATTCATTACTAATTATGTTATGTCCCGTTTTATATGATCGAAAGATCGTGAAGAAATTAAAGGAGAATGTTGTTGTATCAAGCATGCATATTGTCGGAGTACCTGCTCGGGAGCTCCTTTCCTCTTCATGCAATTGTCATTGAGCAGCTAATCAGAACAATAATGCAAAAGCATTAGCAATTTAATTAGCATTTGACTAGCTAGTTTGACTTGATTAAGCTTTAAAGCTGAGCATGGCATATTGCTGCTTTACACAGTACTGAAAAAAGCATAGTGCCCTTTGAGGATGTAAAGTATATGCGTATATAAATACCTGACCAGGGTCTTCAGGAAACACACAATTCCTCTCCCCATGAACCTAATTAACAAGACAAATTCTGATTAGGTTAAGATAATGAATCAATTAATGACTAATAATTAGTAATCTTGCACGTGGGAGAAGAGAGAGGAAGAGATGGAGGTATTGCTTTGGGAAGGGAGAAATGAATAGGTTAATTTGTATGTTGTTTTTGTTTATAACTTACTGCAGACTGCGGCTGCTGCCGCATGTTTCCTGATCCACTGCCCAAGTAAGGTAAGCTGAGGGCCTGCATCCAAGGGGGGAAAAGAGAAGCCATGAAGTGAAGACACGTATGAAAGCCGTATATTTTTACAACTTCAAAAAACTAGAGAGAGAGAGACAGAGAGAGAATATAAATTGAAAGGAACAATTTGAAGAGAATGGAACTTTAACGGTGTGAGTGTCTCTGTGTGCCAGCCCCAATTGCAAGTACCAACCCATGGTTGTCTGCAAAAGGTTAGAGAGAGAGAGAGAGAGAGAGAGAGAGAGAGATCACCTCAATT